CCCCCGCCAACCCAACTCATTCCCACCAAATCCTTTCTCCTCACCCACACTCAAATAATCCAAAACCACGTCCACGTCCCCATCCCATCCATCCGACCCCCGCCCCAATCCCGCCCACCCACTCTTTCTCCAGTGACGTGTTGGCTCGACTACGAGGTAACGCCATGGATGCCACAGTAGCCACCCTGTTCTGTACTGGAGTAATCAACTCTCACAGCGCGGGGATCGGAGGAGGTTCCTTCTACACTATATACCACAAGTAGGCCCGGAACATACATGTATTAGCAAAACACACAAGAGCACTCGGTACGGAAACCACACCAAACCACACTGGGTGCTCTGGTGTGGTTAGCTCCTTCTTTCGTATAAAAAATATATCGTCTCTATCGCCCCTCCTTCTTTTTTGTGCTTGTTACTCTCTTGAAACATCTCTAATCTTCGTCACTTACATGACCTTATTGTGTTGCAAGTGCCGTAAAACTCTTACTAAAACTAAAAACATATTACCGTTACCTTCATTCATCATTGCCATATGTCGAAATACAAGCTTTTGGAAAAGAATTTTAAAACCCGGTTGAAGTTCGGGTATGGGTATACAAAACTTTTACTTGGTCACCTAAATTCGTTTCTTCTTTTTAAGATGACCAATTGATGCGCATCATCACACTTAACAACTTTCTTTATTTAATTTGTTTTCTTTTCGAAATTCTGCCACAGTACAAATGTTGAATGACGTTGACCACATGCCCCCCTCCCCTCCCCCAATCCCTAAAAAGACAAAAATATAATTCCCTATTATAAAAATAAACCTGGTACACCTGTGAATAGTAACCCAATCACTCACCTACACCTTCCTTGATTCAAAACATATTCACCATGACTTTCCTTTGAAGTATATTGGGGAAGTCAAATTTTAAACGAAAGGGCAGGGGGAGGGGGAAGTAACACTTGGGTAATTTACTTCCTCTATATTTTACAGCTCAGGCAAAGCTGTATCATACATCTTGCATATTGTCTGTGACCACACAAAAGGCCATACATGCCCCCCTCCCCACCCCACCCCTCCACAAACACATCCCTCCTCGTCCGCCATTCCCTACCCAGGTTGAAGTGTAAGGTTTTAAACCAACTTATATATAAATATATATATTAAATAAATATACATGTATATGTATATATATTTGTTTAAAAAATATATATATAATATTTTATAAATACGTGTGGTATCGTGGCTAAATTAAGCAAATGCAATAAATTACAAGTTATATATATATATATATATATATATATATATATATATATATATATATATATATATATATATATATATATATATATATTCATTTATTTATGTGTTTCTTCATTTACTTATATATCTCAACGTCTTTTATGTCCATTTAAGAATGCATTTATTCTGCGAGTGTTAGAGTGTGATTTTTTATAATAATGACCAAAAAAAAGTGAGGTTTCCAATGACACTATCGAACTTTGATGGCCATTTTCTCGTCAATTATACCTCTGACACCACTCATGTACACAAACATACACTTAATTTCGCAGAAGCACGCACGCACGCGAGCACACACGCACACACACACACACACACACTAACATACACACTCACACACACATGTACACACAAGCACACACACACACACACACACACACACACACACACACAAACACGTAGACACAAGCACACACGCACGATCGCACGATCACACGCACGCACGCACAGATACTCGCACCCCCCCCCCCCCCCCCCACACACACATGCACCCATGAACCGCCTTCCTCATCACATAAGTTTGCATAAACATTTTAGACTCCAGAAATAACAGTCGGCTGATAGGCGGTCTGAAGAATTAATTAATAACCCATCGAGTTCGCTCAGGTGTGATCATCTAAACACTTTCAGATCGACTAATATGTCCATTTTGTGCAAATCGTCCAACCTGGAGAGAGCGACATTTTAATTTTAACGATTATGTTATCGATCACACCAGCGTTGGACACGTTGTTTAAACATACATTAGTATCAATTGTCTGTTCTATTTCTTAAATAAATTATTATGTCTTACACTGTTTGGAGCTTAAAATTTCGATACCCTATCCCGTCAGAAATAGAGAGAATGGAAAGAAAATAAAGAGTTGTTTCTGCTTTTTAAGGCTTATTTGTAGTATATTTGCTTTTTGTTTTTGGGGTGGGGATTTTTTCGGGGGATGGGAGGGGGTGTTTTTATCTTTTGTTTTTGTTTTGTTTTTTGTTTGGTGTTTTTTGGGGGGAGGGGTCGTTTCGGTTTTCTTTCTCTTTGTTTGTTTGTTTGTTTTATGTGAAGACTATAATAGTAATGGGCGACATGTTGCTTTCTTCACAGGTCCAGTAATACTTTCTACAATGTGATCAGCCGTGAGACGGCACCAGCTGCCTCTACGCAGGACATGTTCCAAAGTGAGGAGAATCAGCCCAAGTCGCTTCTTGGTGAGTACCACCCGTCTTTCTGCCGGCCTGCCTATCCTTCTGTCTGTCTGTCTGTCTATCTGTCTATCTGTCTGTTTGCCTGTATGTATGTCAGCCTGCGTATTGATCGATATAGAGAGCAGCAGGACGGAGGCAGTTTATTAGGGTAACATGTATTTAAACTACCACACATAACAATTAGAAATACAAATTTACATCTTTCACACGATGCATATGGTTGCCGACCTTTCTAAGTTTCAGATAAAGACCACAGAAGTAAGAGTTGTGTTAAGTTTGTTTCTTCATTGAGAAAGACTTAACTCCTCGATATCTCCCCTCCCCCAAATCCTCAAATAAAATATATGAATAAGTAAACAAAATAATGAAAAACAAAAACGCCGTCAACAACAAGAACCATAACTCTTCTCCTTCACCCAGGTGGAATGGCTGTCGGAATTCCCGGCGAGGTGCTCGGCCTTTATGAAGTTCACCAGCGATTTGGCACCGTTCCCTGGAAGAGTCTGGTCATGCCATCAATCAAACTTTGTGAGGAAGGCTTTCCGCTGACCGAAGCCACACACAATGTGATCTCTAGAATTCCGGACAAGACTAAGTTTGCGTAATAATTCTTCTTGTGGAATTTTTTTGGGGTTTTTTTGTTATCTGTTCCGTTTTTTTGTGGGTTTTTTTTCTTTTTTTGTTGTTGCTGCAGTTGTTGTTGCTGATGCTGCTGTTTTTGTTGTTGTTGTTGTTGTTGTTGTTGTTGTTGTTGTTCTTGTTGTTGCTGATGTTATGGTTGTGGTTATTAGTGATGGTGGTGGTACTGGCTTTTTGGATATGTACGTTTTTGGTTGCTGTTTTCTTTTCTTTTTTAAAAATTCGTTTTGTTTGTTTGTTTGTTTCATTGATGTCGTTTTTCAATTTTTTCCCCCTCATTTATTCAATATTTTTGGAAGGGAGGGGGACATATTATGACACTGTCCAAAGGTTAAAGCTAAGGACTACTTCAGGCCTCCCTTCGGAACTTACTTGACCTACTACATATTATAATTCTCCGTGGGACCAACAAAAAAGTAGCCGGGATGTAATTCGCGAAAAACTGTTATAAGAGAATGAAGTAGGCTTACAAAATCAAAGAAGTTGATGATTTTTTATGTCATATTTAAAGTCCTCGTCTTTAATATTGTGTGTGTAAGTGTGTGTTTATATGTATAAATATATATATTTGTATGTGCGCGCGAACGCGTGCGTGTGTGTGTGTGTGTGTGTGTGTGTGTGTGTGTGTGTGTGTGTGTGTGTGTGTGTGTGTGTGTGTGTGTGTGTGTATTTGCGTGTGGCTTGAGGGAGAGGTCGTTCTTCTGATGTTCTCCCCTTGATTACTGTTTGTTGTCGTATTTTTAAAATTTTGTTTTAGTACACTGTAATTCTGTTCCTAGTGTCAACTTTCTTTCGTTTTTCTCTATGATGACGTTGTAATTGCTGCAAATTTTGCGATGTAGATCATTTAGAGGCGGGTTTCCGACGCTGTTCGTCAGGGCTAACCCAGGTTTAAAGGGATACATCCCAGCAGAGAGACAGAGATAAAATTGAAAAAATAAATGTCTCCAAACTCAGGATTCGAACTCGGGTCTCCTATGCGCAATAGCGAAGGGAATAACCGCTACATCACAGACGCCGGTAGTAAATAATACGATAACAATAAAATTGTACAGAAGAAAAAGAAACCATTGACAACATTATAAACCCAAATTAACAATCCAGAATAGGGATTTTAGTTTTAGTTTTAGTTGAATATTTACGGAACTTGCAACAAATGTGCCCGAAGATTTAGACTACTAATAGTAACATACACAGAAAAGATCGAGGAGAGATACTGACGATAGATTATGTTTGAGAGGAAAGAAGGAACCTACCACATGGGAGAGCCCGCCAATCACTAATGAAAAGTATGTTTTAGTTGTTGAAGTTGTACAAACACCTACAATAACAAATATAATAATATATTATTATTATTATTATTATTATTATTATTATTATTATTATTATTATTATTATTATTACCATTTCTGGCATCAGGGAAACGTTTTTTTAACACTATTTTCAAGTAAAAAATGCAGGGTTATTGATTTTGTTTGTTTGCTTATACCAGGCCTTACTTCAATGCCGACGGGAGTCCAAAAGCGGCTGGTAGTTTGATCAAATTTCCAGAGCTCGCCCGGACGTTTCGCACCATCGCTGATGACCCTCTCTCCTTCTATAACGGAACTCTGGCGGCTGATATTGTCAGTGATATAACTGATGAAGGTAAGGCGTAGTCGTATTAGTTTGTTTCATGAGGTTTGTTTGATCTAATGTAAGAGTATTAAAAACACACTATGGGACACACGAATAGGCCTAGATAATTTCTTTCGAAAGTACATCCCCATCGCAATCCTCATCCCCCACCCAAAACGCCCTACCCACTCCCTCCCCCCAAAAAATTAACAACTGGTACACTCCCCCCTCCCTCCCCCTCGTCAACCCTCCCCAAATACACATACACAGGCAGTGTGTGGTTTTCTTTTTCTTGTTCTTTTTTTCTTTTTTCTTTTTTTTATGGGGGGGGGCTTTTGTACTTTTCTTTTTTTTTCGTTAGTTCGTGTTTCGTTTTGTTTGGGGGTTTTTAATGGGCGGAGGGGGTGTTGGGGACTGCTCTAAATGAAACAAATATCTCAGTTGCCAGTTTGTTGATAAAATGATTTTATCGAAAAAAATGCAAATTCAAGAAAAGATGCCACCCCCACACTACACGGGTTAGGCGAATGTCAAGCACCTGAACAACATGCTGCAAGTCGCTGGACTACGTCCATAGCACAGAGGACTCCCACCTAGGACCTTGAACATACTTAACTATGGCTTTGTTACATTGTTACATTTACAACATGGCTAGGAGCAGCAAGAATAACAGACACCACTGCAGCAACGCAAGACAGAATGAAGTGGAGGTCCATGATCGCCCACGCCAGTCGGCAAGGCACCGGATGATGATGATGTTACATTGTACTGTCTTAACTCTTTAACAAACCAACATGAGTGCTTGGCGGCTGCTCTGGGGCGGTTTGTTCCTTCTCTCCTATCAAACATGTATCATCTCTATCTCTCCTCCTTCTTTTTGTATTTGTTACCATCTTATAACACTTCTAATCTTCTGCTCTTATATGACCGTATTGCGTTGCAAGAGCCACAAAACTCTTACTACACTACACTAAACGACGCTGCTTTTACATACATCCGATCAAAAGCAGATCACAAGCAATGTTGCAGCACATCTAGAAGTACCATAAACATAATGAGAAGCACGAACTTACATGTTTCATAATATGCACTTTGCTGTCTGTCTTTTTTAGATTGCAGAAAAAGTATGTTTGAATTTAATTGAAAAATAACCAGCATGGAGAGCGAAGTAGCCTAAAACAGTACGTTTTCAAGCATTGTTGAATAATAGGAATGGCTGTCCTTAATGAGTTAAGAGTTTAACTTTAAATTTTTAATTTTCAGTGACTGATTGTTTGGCTGTTTGTCTATATGTGGAAACTTGCTTTCAAGGTAGAAATACTGACTGAAGTGTCGTCTTTATTTGTATTGATTGTAGAACGAGCTACTTCGCAAACTGAAAAAAAGAGATTAATTTGCTTCGTTATTTTCAATACCCCCCCCCCCCCCCCAAACGGGCACATAAGGAAAACTGCCTATATCTTTCAGAGAAAATTCAATTCTAAAACAAAAGCATAGAACTGTTCCAACCAAATTAATAAGTAAATGCTTATATATTATTTTGTGCACATTCAGGGGGTATAATCACAATAGAAGACCTGGCCAACTACAAGCTAACAACCTCGGCCCCTACCAATATAAGTCTGCCTGGGGGGTATCAAGTCTTCTCAACACCTCCGCCAGGTAGTGGACTGGTCCTCAGCTATATTCTTGGAATTTTATCCGGTGAGTGATTCTTTATTTTAGTTATAAGATGATGGTGATGATGATAATGACGATGATGATGATATTTTTTTATTTTTTTAAAATCAAGTTCCTGAAGAATCCCACAGGGCGAAACGTTGAACATATTCTATAAAGTTAAACAAATTCAACCATTTTTTACAACGTGCTTCCTCAAATGATGATGGTGATGTTGATGATGATGATGATGATGATGATGATGATGATGATGATGATGATGATGATGGCCAGCATTTGTTTTTGTTTTCGATACTATCCGTAAAACAACTTTCTTTAACAAAGTGCACACTGGTCGGTCCGATATTCCGGCCGGACCCGATCAAGCAAAGCTGACAATCAAGGGATGGCTCTGGAGATAGTCGATGCAAAGTTCTTCAAAACTCACTTAATGCAGCCCTGTTTCATGTACAGTCGAGCACGGATATCTCGACACACCTCAGGGATGGGCATTATGGTAGTCGTTTGTTTTTCTTGTAGCAGCACAGTGTCGTTTGTCTTTCGGTTAAAAATTGTATGTTACTTTATTCATCCACATTTTCTTGAGATCAGTACAGTACGGTGTATTGTACCCAGCAGTCAGTATAACGAACTAGGCGAGAAATCAATTCCGGAACCGATTCCCGCAATTAGTGTAATAGAAGAAAAATACTGATTCTTTTTTAGGTAAACAAATGGTTAGCAATTGCTTTTTTCCTTATTTTTAAAAACATTTTGATACCTTGCTGAAATCAAGGTTACCCTGAATCCTCCTTAAGTGGCTATAGACTTTGGAGTCTCAGGAAGGTTTCAAGATTCGGGAATCTGCGGTTATCACTGGAGTCAACCTTTGGGGGCTTAACGTCCTTCAGCATCAAAGAGTCTGTATTGATTCGTTTTTTCGTTCATTCAGTAAATCGATAGGTTGTTTTTATTATCTCTTTGGGCAACTGTTTCGTCTCTTTGTTTGTATTAATATGCTATGTCTTATAGTTTCAAGCTTTATAAATCAATTATTTTAACTACCTTCTCGCTCTTTTGTTTGAGCTATTCTTTGTTTTCTGAACTCTCAGGATATAACATGGACCCCAGCAATATTGCCACGACTGAGGAAGAAATACTTACATATCATCGTATTGTGGAAGCCTTCAAGTTTGCATTCGGCAAGAGATCGGAACTTGGGGATGACCGTTTCCATGATAATTCAGAAGTAAGCGCGATAACGGACACGTAAGCAAGCTAATGCAGAAGTAAGACACACGTATAAGTGACCCCCCCCCACACACACACACACACACACACACACACACACACACACAAACACACACACGCACACACTCACGCTCGCACGCGCGCACCATACACCCACACACAAAATCCCGTCGAAAAAATACGAGTCCAAATCAACTGGAAATAAACGATTGTGGTGTTAGAACCATAGGTATTTAAAAAAAATTGTTTTACTAGCTACCAGGTTCATGGCCGTTGTGATGGCTGTTGGCAAAAAAGTTTTTTTTAAATTGTTAAATCATTTTAAAGAAGGGGGGGGGGGGGGGGAGCGAAGGGGCTTCTATTGTTTTCAGCAATAAGGAGTTTTTTTCGTGACGAGATGCCAAAAACGTTTGATATGTTTTAACAAAACTTATAGTGAATGCAAGAGTGGGTAAGTGTGCTTGTGTCAATGTTTTTTTGTCCAACAAAAACATAATGAAGTTGTAGGCCTGGTCAAGGGTCTAATGGTTTAACGGGCTTTGCTATAATTTTTTACCGTGGGTATTTTCTGGTGCTCACATGTGCAGCACATGTGTTGCATTTGGCTTAAGGCTCGTCGCTCAGATTGGTTGACTGATGGATTGGTTGGTTGATTTATGATTGATTGATTGATTGATTGGTTCATTGATTAATTGATTAATTGATTTATTGATTGGTTCATTGATTGGTTGATTGGTAGATTGACCTATTATTAATTTATGCATTTGCCTAAAGTGTTGGATATCAACGGATACCGTTTTACTCATACTAATTTTCTTTACGTCTGGGTCTCAGAACGCAGTCAACATGACGTCACGGGCTGTCTGTGAGGAGATCAGGCAACGTATCAGTGACGAGAAGACGCACGACATCGAATTCTATAACCCAGCCTTCTCCGTGGCCAATGACAGCGGTACTGCCCACATCTCCGTCATAGACGGTGAAGGGAACGCAGTGTCCGTCACGAGTACAATTAACACTTAGTGAGTCATCACGCCTCTGCTTGTCTGCTGTTTTCCCCTAAGTTTGTTAGCTTTCGATCTGCTTATCTGTCGAGCCTGCTCTAAGACCGAGTCACCTGTCCAAGACAATCACGTGTACAATCGCCCACTTCTCACTTCCTTGTTTGCGTTTAAGTATGATTGTGCAACTGTGTCCAAGACGCCCAGCTGTCTAAGACAACCACTTTCCTCTTCAATAATAGGTGGCCATCTTGGGAAATATCTGTTGTATTTTAATATGCAGGTGGTTACATTATACCATTGGATGTCCTACTTTGTGTTGTTTTGTTTCTTCCGTTTTTCCTCTGTCTTTTCTATCTGTCTAGGTTGCATTTTTCCACTACTAACTGGCCATTATTGTGTAGATGTGCTTCTTTTACTAAAGCAAACGAACAAACATACAAATTAAGTTACTTGATAATCTGTCCTTCTGGCACCACTGTAGATTTCTCCCAGATCAAAATACAAGTGAAATCCCGTAAGTCTGCCTACTGCCTCTATGTCCAAACTCTAAATTGCCGTAACTGTATCAAACAATATACTTTTCTTTACTCAAAATACAAACGTCAAAAGTCTGCATCCAGTTTGCTTGCCTGTCTGCTTTGCATTTTTTTCCAGCAGTAAATTGCCGTTTTTATATAATGTGCTTCTCTTTAGTCAAATACAAACCGTGTTTCGAAAGTCTGTCTTCTTTCTGTCTATCGTGCTTTTTGTAAGCATTAAACAACTATTACTGTATGTTTCTCTTCTGTCAAAATAGAAACTCAGTCTCCAAAGGCTGCATTTTTCTGACTTGCTTTTTAACAGGTCACACTGATCGTTATTGTATCATTATATCAATATCCTTCTCGTCATTCAAAACACAAACCCAGTTTCGGAAGCAAGGTCCGCGGCTCGAGGACTGGTATCGTGTTCAACAACGAGATGGACGATTTCTCCACCCCAGGAACTGTCAACTACTTTGGCCTGCCCGCCTCTCCTGCCAACTTCATCCAGCCAGGCAAACGTCCCATGTCCTCCATGTGTCCAGTAATAGTGTGGGACAACAACGAGCAGAGGGTCAAGATGATCTCTGGTGGTTCCGGGGGGACAAGGATCACGACTGCTAATGCTTTGGTGAGTGAGTTTGGGATATAGGTAATAATGGCAATGGTTCCTTACAAGAAATGTTGGGCGAGAAGGTGTTCTTTTTGTGATTGGCGCTTGTTATTGTAGTTGTTCTTGTTCTTGTTGTTGTTTGTTTCTTCTTCTTCTTCTTCTTCTTCTTCTTCTTCTTCTTCTTCTTCTTCTTCTTGTTCCGGTTGTTATTGATGCCACTGTAGCTGTCCATGTTTTTATAACTGCTGCTGCTGTCGCTGCTCTTGATGCTGTTGCTTTTTTGTTGTTGTATTTTCAGTTGTAATTTATTAGCTACTGATTGACAACACTATTGCTTTCGTAGGTGTTGTGAGCGCTTTTTGATTGTGTAAATAAACTCAATAAAGTGCAAAAGTCGCCATTGGTATGATTAGGGCAGGAAGTGGGAGGAAGGGAGATTCCTTGTCTTATTTATTTGTGGCAGTTGATTTTGTCAGGGGGTTTTGAGAGCTTCTTCCTGCTGTTGTGTTTGAAGAGGGGGGAGGGGGGTTCGTAAAATTATTTTATGTAAACAAACGGGTGGCCGCAGTGAAATTTGAGAAATTATGCTCTTTTTCCGTTTGATAATCTGACAAGGTCAGATCACACAACTACTAACCTCAATAATTTGAAGAAATAAATGAATGAATGAATGAATGAATGGATGAATGAAAGACTGAATGAATGAATAAATGAATGAATGAATGAATGAATGAATGAATGAATGAATTAGTAGTTGCATGAATGAATTTAAAAAATAATTAATTAATTAACTCATAAACATACCAACAGATAAACAGATAAATTTGGATACCTCATCACATTTCTCTCCTCTGTAAAAACTTACAGTCATCGTAATATTGTAATTCATCATTCACCACATATTTATCTTTAGAGTATCATTGACGTCCTCTGGCTGGGTATGTCCTTGCCCGAATCCATAGACAAGCCTAGACTCCACCACCAGCTCGTTCCCAATGCTGTACAGATGGAGAACACTTTCAGCAAGGTAATGGATCTCAATCTCAATTCTTCAGTCTCAACTGTTTTTTAATGTATGAGTTTTTCGCTTCCATTAGCACATTTAGATCAATAGAATTAAGAGGTGGCCTTCCGAACCCGGGTTCACGGGAATGCGACATCCAAGTACAAGGACCGAGATACTCGATACGTATTTTCTCCCCACCCGGGTCTCTGCGAGCGAAAGAGAAGTGCCTAACTTTTACACTACAGACGCTAGCACCC